ATTACTATTCAGGTATTTCTAGACTTGATAATCTTGGTATATTCCTGGCGTATCCTGATGATATGGTATTATGTGTCAAGATTATTATGTATTATATCTTAAGCTCTTTAAAAATACGGTTGTTATATTTAGAAATATTTTGGCTAAAGTCTTTTTTAACTGATTTTATTTGGTCTTTACATTATGCCTACAATTAATTTCTATGAGGTCTTTGTAAGAGTATTAGTTTTATAAATTAATCATGGCCATATTAAGTTTTGTCCTCTGCAGATAAGTTTTTACTTTGCTGATTTACTGAAAACGTTTGACCAAAATATCTCAGCAATAAGATTACTGGACTTGGGAAAAAGACTGTGACTAGACTGAAGAAAATTTCCAGAACTCTTACGCAGAAGCTGACAGGGTCGTAGACCGCGGCTTATCCAGAATCATGTGGAACAGAAACTAACTACATAAGACTGAGTAAACGAAAGGAAACTATGGGCTTTATTTGGGAATACTGCTGATGTTTTAAGGTCCTACTTTCTAGCTATAAGAAACCATTTTCCTTTCTCCTAAATTATCTAACTTGTGGGTTTACATATTGTAACTCTTGAATTAGAAGTTCTTGTTGGTAAACTTACCAAAGTCGTAACTATCATAACCAGGTAAGTGTTTTAAGTTCGAGCCATGATTTTACAAAATAGAACAGCATTAGATTTCCTATTCTCTCGAGGAACAGTCTGTGCCTTAATAGATAACGTTGCTGTGTTTATATTAACACTCAGTCTGAGGTTCTGCAGAACGTAGCTGCTACTGAGGCACATGTAAAACCGTTACTGATGCTGCTTATGAACAGACAAACACCTCATGAGATTTCTTTCCTTGGTTCAAAGAACTCCGGGTCATGGTTTCACTAGTTATTTCAGACAACTGGCCTAAAATTATTGTTAGTGTTTCTATTCTACCTCCTAGTTACCTCTTGTTGCATTTGGATAAATAACACAACAAGATATACATAGAATTAGACAAGCTACTAGGTTATACACTATAACACCCTTACAAACACAAGATTTATTTGGCTGGTTACCATCAGGAATAAGTAAAAGGGCTAGATCACTATTGCAAGGAATAGTAATATTCTTAGTCTGCAACCTGATAGTATTAGGCATAATGAAACTTATCTTCTATTGTCTTACACACGTAGAAACCAAAAGAAGGCCTCGGGCTACAATGCTGATGTACACTGAGTCTGCTCACTTTGGCAAAGTGATTGATGAGAACACCCTCTTACTTAAGATCCTGGTGAAGAACCAGATGGTATCCTGCAGAAAACCAGTACCATGAGTTTAAAGAGCCTGCCATGGCCTCCATCTAAGGGCTCCACTAAGTCCAGCTATTAATCATTAATGTGTTATTTCCAGTCACCGATCAAAAGAAAAAAATGATTTAGGAGATAATTTTGGAGCCATTATTCCGTGTCCTTGAGCATGAAGAATGTGATCCAGCTGGAGCTGGACTCACAAAGACTCATAAAGACATATAAAGACAACTGGGCCTTGAGGTATAAAGACAATAGCTAAGACAATAAAAATCTTTTAGGGAAACATTCACATAAACAGGGCATAAAAGCCACTCTTTTTTCTTTTAATATTTAGTAAATAGTTATAAATCAACAAGAGGTCAGTAGCCACAAAGAAAAGCCTAGGTCCAGTATTTCCCCTCCCCGAAAATAAGCCGAACAATTCCGAGCCAGGCTACAGTTCAAAATGGACACTGGTCTTGAATGACTGATGTCTAAAAAGAAATGGAAGGAGTGAGACAGAGGCCTCACAGTGTTGTATTAAAAACTGTTTCCTTTGCTGGGCTTCCTCCCCCGACCCCAGCTTTGCAACTGAATCCTGCTTTTGCTTGGAGGTTATATGTAAACCCCATTGCACCTGCGCAGCGTGATTAAAAATGTTGCTGGTGTAACTTGTATGAACTCTCTACTTGTAAACCCTTTAAAAGTAACTTGCCTGCCGGCCCTTGGTAAGCAGTCTTGGCAGCAGCAGCTCCGACTGACTCCTTTCCTTGTACAACGAAATAAAGGTGCCTTTCCTGTTCTCCCACTTTGGTCTCTCATTTCTCAGCCAATACGAGTCATACTGAGCAAGAACCTGGGGTTTCCATCCAATAACAACACAAAAACTTGTACACGAATGTTCATAGCAGCATTATTCACAAAAGCTAAACAGTGGAAACAACCCAAATGACCATCAGCTGATGAAAGGATAAACAAAATGCGGTATATCCATACAGTGGAATATGACTCAGTCATAAAAAGGATGTGGTGATAGACGCTACGATGTGGATGAACCTTGAAAACATTATGCTAAGAAGCCAGATGTAAAAGGCTACATACTGTAAAATGCCATTTATATGAGATGTCCAGAACAGGCAAATCCATAGTGAGAAAAAGCAGATCAGAGGTTGCCAGGAGCAGGGAGGAGGGGGGAATGAAGAGTGAGTACTTAAGAGGTATGAGACTTCTTTTTGGGGTGTTGAGAATGCTCTGGAACTAGACAGTGGTGATGGTTACACAACATTGTGAATATACTAAAAACCACTGAATTGCACACTTTAAGATGGCTATGATGGTACATTTTATGTTACATAAATTTCACCTCAATAAAAAAGGAACAAATTATCATCCGTACTAAAAAACTTAGAGCAGTCTCACAGCTGCAGAGATTTCTCTTTGTTTCCTTTTCCTTTAAGTATTAACTTGAAAATGTCAAATTACTATGCCTCATCTATAAAATGGAATCATTAATAGTGCTGTCGTAAGAAGGTTTTGAAAGGAGCCCTGGTGGTTCGATGGTTAAGCACTCTGCTAACCGAAAGGCTGGCAGTTTGAATCCACTCAGTGGCTTAGTGGGAGAAAGATCTGGTGATCTGCTCCAGTAAAGATCATAGCCTAGAAAACCCTGTGGGGTAGTTCTACTCTGTCATATAGGATCCTCATGAGTCGAAACCAACTTGACAGCACCTAACAACAACAAAAAGGTTTTAAGAAGACTAAGAGTAAATTGAACTCTGGTGGTGCAGTGTTAAGAGCTCGGCTGCTAACCAAAAAGGCTGGCAGTTCGAATCCACCAGCTGCTCCCTGGAAATCCTATGGGACAGTTCTACTCTGTCCTATAGGGTCAACGGCAACAGGTTTTTTGGTTTTAAGAGAGTAAATACATGTAAAGCACTCAGAACAGTGCCTGACACAATTTCTCTCAATAAATGTTAGCTATTAGTAGGCGTATTGGATTTGAAGTCTAATTAGGATATGAAAAAAATTACAATTCCTGTTTCTCTCCAAGTTAGTGTCTAACAGACACTGCAGTGAGTGGTGGGTTTATTTGACTAAAATAAAAAAAGGAAAAAGCATGAGGTGATTTTTGTTACTGCTGATCTAGCATTTAATGTTAAAATACAGTAAACATTTCAGTCTGTGATTAGCATGAGACGCTGAAGAGTTTCAGTATATTAATCCTGCTACACCTATCATGAGGAGTCCCTGGGTGGTGCAAACCGTTAAGCTCTGGGCTACTAACTAAAAAGCTGTAAGTTCACGTCCACCCAGAGGAATCTTGGAAGAAAGTCCTGGCAATCTGCTTCCAAAAGGTCACAGCCATGAAAACCCTATGGAGGGCAAGTCTACTTTGAAACACAAAGGGTCGCCGTGAGTCAGAATCAACTCAATAGCAACTGGTTTTATACCTGTCGTGGGAGTACAAGAGGGTTCTAGACACCAAAACCTGAGTTAATTCTATGAGATATGCTACAGATCAACATGAGAGAAAGAAGCTTGGAGAAGCTAGAAGGGAAGCTGGGTAATTTTCTAGTTCCTCCTGAATCATTAACAGATATCATAGAGCAACTTCACCACAATGCTTAAAAAACACTAAATTTCTAGACTACTAAACTTACTCATATTTAAACACAAGTTAAACACATATTCTGAAGTTAGACAACCTCTAGGTTATGGAGTCCTTTTGATTAAAAACAGCACTGTTTTGTTTTGTTTTTTCCTTTATATTAACTAAATTTTAGAATTGACAGTAATCGTTTTATCTCATTATATGGCAAAGAAATGAAATGTTACAAGTTTTTAGGGAAGAAGAGGGAAAAGGCAAAATCAAATTACCTAAGAGAATGAAAAAAGCAGCTCTGCATATGTTTCATGTTTTGTGCAATGCAAATACAGGTCAGGCAGCTGACAAAGCAGAGGGATAAAATTACAACCAAAACTAAGCACCATAAATAGCACCTTAAGCCACAAATAAAAGGACACATTCTACTCGAGTAGAAGGGACTATTAGATTAGTATTTTTCTTTTTTTCTATCATATGGGAACATAAATAATAGCATATTAACAAATATCTAGGAGTCCTTGGGTTGGGCAAATGGTTAAGCATTTGACTGCTAGTAGAAAGACTGGCAGTTTGAACCCACCCAGAGGACCCTCAGAACAAATATTAAATATCTACCATATATTAAATATCTACCATATTCAACGTTGTTGTTAGTTGCTGTCGAGTTGATTCCAACTCATAGCAGGCAACCTCACATGTGCACAGTAGAACTGCTCCATAGGGTTTTTGAGGCTGTGACTTTTTAGAAGCAGATTGCCAGGCCTGTCTTCCAAGGCACCTCTGGGCAAGTTCAAACCACCAACCTTTTGGCTAGTAGTCAAGTACTTAACCATTTGCACAATGTCTAGCAATGTATATATATAACACACGAACAGATACATGAACAAATACATATAATACACTATAGACTGTTTAGTCTTAAAAACAAACCAACCAATCCTTAGGCTAAACTGTCCTTGTGAAACTTCCAATAAAATTTTCATCTCTGTAGAGTGAACAGTCGAAAAGAAGATTAGAAATAAAGGATTCTCTAGAGATGAGGAAACCACTGCGGAGAACGTAGAAAAGCTACTGAAGAGACATTATTATTATTATTATTACGTACAGTCCTACCTGTATTTGTGTTTTTCATTCCCATTCTGAATCGTATCTGCTTTCCATGAAGGACCTCAGAAAGGTGTTTAGCATTCCAGTGCCGTGCTGGCCAATCAAAAACCATGTTACAGAAGATTGCAGGTTGTTGTAAAGACATTATGATTTCTTTTGCTTTCTCTGGTGTGAAAGGTTTAACATGTTCACCTAGAGAGAGAAATAAATAAGAGCAACGGATGGAAAACTATAAAATTATTTCGTACAATCTGAAGGGAAATAAGCTAATATTGTTTCTATTATAGTCAATTTTTCTGTGACATTACATTGCATTTACACTTCATTTTTACTGTTTATATAAACATTTGGCCTTAAGGGGCTAGAATTCTTAAATAATTTTTCTTATATTAAACTTTAAATGTTGGTAAATACAATTTCAATGTCAAAAATGAAGCTTTAGTAAAAAAGTTTTCCAATTACTTCTGTAAATTTTAAAAGATGCAAAAATTTGAAAATACGAATTCCTAAATAGGTAAGAAATGCTGATGGGAACTACTCCAGAAGAACTCAAGTTGCTGGAGTCAGCAACAATTCTACTTGGTACATCACATGTTTAAGCCAAAAAGAGGCACATGAGAGAATTAATACAGCAGTCTGTCTGGGAGGGGGAAGTTATCTTTACTTCAAGATTTAAAAAGATAAAAGATGTGTTAAGATGACAATCAATGTTAATCCTTGGTTTCAAATGGATCTACAAACAGGATAAGGGATACATACAAATCAACACTGACTTAATGAGTAAGTACTTAAATAAATTTCACAGAACCATGAAATATTAATCTTGGGTGGGATAGTAAAGACTAGTATTCCTTAAATAAAAAAGGAAGTAAGTTTTGCTTTCAAGATATCTTAAGATAGAAGGTTCTTTTCCCAGGGGGCGGGGGATGGGGGTAAAAAATGCTTCATATTCTGACTCCCACAACATATGTTTATGAACCTCAAGAATAATCAACTAAACCTCCATTTCAGTTACCTAATCTGTAATCACTGAAAAATTAAGAAAAGGTCATAAATAATCCAGACTTTTCCACCACCCAACTGTCTTCTAAATTTTCTGGTAAAATGAAGAGGGATGAGAGAGGAATTCACTGAGGAATCTGAGTAATTTGTGCTGGTCTAAATGTAAGGCTTGTTTTTAAAGAAAATGAAACCTTAAAAAATCAATTTGGCCTCCTTTCTCAGACAGGAAGTGCAAAACCTTGGAATCCTTTCCAAAGCCCGAGGTGAAGGCAGATAGGTTCTAACGTCTCTGCTGCTGGCATGCGAGAACAATCTGTTACCTTCAGACAGAGCCACTGCTCCCAAGTGAGGAGCAGATCAGTTTCTAAGCTCAGAGGGAAAGGGCAGGTGGAAGAATTAGACAATACATGGAGTGAGGAAGAGAGAAAACCAAAATCTGTTGCCATTGAGTTGATTCCGACTCATACCGACCCTATAGGACAGAGCAGAATTGCCCTGCAGGGTTTCCAAGGAACGGCTGGTGGATTCGAACTGCCTACTTTTGGTTAGCAGCCATAGCTCTTAACCACTGTGCCACCAGGGCTCCTACAGGGTCATTATAGGGTCACTATGAGTCATAAATGACTCGATGGTAACGGGTAATGGCTTGAGACTTTTGAAGATGTTGGGACGGAGTGAATGTATTTTTCAAGTGGACGGACGTGATTTTCGAGTTCAGAGGGTAGAGTATAGTGAATTGAATTGTGTCCCATAAAAGATATGTCTACCTGGAGCCTCAAAATGTGACCTTGTTTGGAATAAGGGTCTTTGTAGATGTAATTAAGGTAAGGATCTCAAGATGTGGGCCCTAAATCCAATCACAAGTGTCCCTGTAAGAGACAAAAATCAAAAACCCATTGCCGTTTAGTTGATTCCGACTCACAGTGATCCCACAGGACAGGGCAGAACTGCCCCATAGGGTTTTCAAAGAGCAGCTGGTAGATTCGAATTGCCAATCTTTTGGTTAGCAGCTAAACACTTAACCACTGTGCTACCAGGGCTCCAGAAAAGGAAAAAGCACAGAGACACAAGAGGAAAAAGACCATGTGAAGACAGAGGCAGAGACTGGAATGATGCACCTGTAAGCTAAAGAACGCCAAGGATTGTCGAAAGCCACTAGAAGATCAAACGCCTGGGAGAGGCAGGGAATGGATTCTCCCTCAAGCCTCCAGAAGGAACTACTCCTGCCAACACCTTGATTTCAGACTTCTGGCCTCCAGACTGTGAGAGAATAAATTTCTTTTGTTTAAGCCACCACGTTTGTGGTAATTTGTTACAATAGTCCTAGGAAACTAATGCACCAGGTTACAAACCTAAGTACAAGGTTACCTAGATTGCAAGACACCATATCTTCTCAGACTTGGACTTCATGGATTCACACGTATGAAAATGAACAAGCTGCATTTTTAATATATTTTTAAAGGTTTTTTTAAGCTATGAAAGGTTACACTGTATTCATGATATACTTTCTTGTTGGTGGCAAATAAATTAGAACCCTCCTTTTGGGAAATAACTAGGAAAATTAAGCAGAAGTCTCAAAGAACCACCTATTATCCCAGTAACTCCTGTTATAGGAATATGCTCTAATAAAATAATTAATCATAAGTTATATACATACACATGTTAAACATATGTATATACATATAAACAAAACGTCCGCTACTATAAATGTTTTCAGGAAGGACCAGTCCCTGGAGAAGGACATCATGCTTGGTAGAGTAGAGGGTCAGCGAAGAAGAGGAAGACCCTCAACGAGATGGACTGATACAGTGGCTGCAACAATGGGCTCAAAGTATAACAACGACTGTGAGGATGGTGCAGGACCGGGCAGTGTTTTGTTCTGTTGTACACAGGGTAGCTATGAGTCGGAACCGACTAGACAGCACCTAACAATATAACACCAAAAATATAAACAGCCTAATGCCCAAAAGCAGAAAAATATTTACTAAATTACGATGTAGCAATTCCATGGTACGGTATATCCATTAAAATAAATATGAGGGCTGTATGGAAATGCATAGAGATGTAGGATGGGTGGGTAGGGACTCGAATTGACAAGAAAGCTACTGTGGTAGCCAAGCAAAAAGTGTTAATGCAGCCCTGAACAACAGGGGTGGCAGTGAGGGAGGCAGAGATGGTAGAGATAGACAAATACCAGGAGAATAACACCAAAGACCATTACAACCAAAGAGATACGGGGTGGGAGGCAGATGCAGCTGTAAAGACTTGGGGTCTCCAGATTTGGTGAGTTGCCATAAGGAAAAAAAAAAAGAAGTCAGGAGCAACAGCTAGTCCTTGGTGGGAAGATTTTGGTTTAAAAATCATCATCACAATACCATATATTTACCTGTATAATGCTTTACTGTTTATACATTAAAATAAAAGTGCTCATCTGATACTACCAGAAATTTGGGAACTGTGCGGAGAAGTATTTTATTCCCATTATGCAAAGGAAGAAATGGAGACTCAGCTGTTAGAGGTCAACACACCAGTGATGAACTAGATATCAAGTCCTCTGAGCCCAAGTCCAGTGCTCCTGCTACTGCACAATTCTGTTTCCAGGGAATTAAAACTGTGGGACTTAAACTAGGACTGAAAACTCACAGAAGAGTTAGTATAACCTGAAAACGTAAGTAGGTTCAGAAAAGCTTTAGACTGACTCAAAGATAACAAATTCCTATGTGTTGTTGGGGAAGGAAGAATGTTTTGGGGTGTATAGGGGGCAGTTATATCTGCAGTAGAGACTGCTAGCTGCCTACCTATCCAATACTCATTCTCTTCTTCCTTACTGACAGAACTTCGGGCAATGGGTATAGATGAAAAATTAAATTTTCCAGTCTCCTTTGCAAACAGAAGTGGCCACAGATGTATCTACAAGTTGTTGAGTTGGCTTTTCTGCCCCTATCCTCATATCCTACATGCTTCCTGGAAAGCAGACATAATGGTGAGAGCATAATAGTTAGCCATCTTGGATGCATAGGAGAAAAGCCCAGGGAACTGGAGACCTCAGCCAAACGAATGCAAAGATGTTCATCCTTGAGCCACTAAAACACCACCAGTGAACTTCTACTTCCTGAAATCTTTCACACAGAAAATAAACCCTTATAGTTAAGACTCTGCTATTAGTTCATAACTGATACATAACACCTCATCTTACGAGGCTGCTATTTTCAAGGACGATGATATTCTCTCCATAAAGTGCTTTATGGCTTAGGCTGGCTGAATCAAGGCTTGTCTGACCCACCAGAGCATTCTTTCAATCCTAAGGCTGTAAAATATTCAAGCTTTGAACATCTTGTTTCTAGAATTTTAAAGGGCAGAGAGAAAATGAAGCACCAGTCCCTCTGGGGTGGGGATTTATTTACTCTGCTTATCTTAAATCAGAGCCAATAGATCAAATGACTTTGAACGTTCTCAAAACGATTCTCATCTTTGGGTAAAACATGTCTGGTCCTCTTCTACAAATAAGCACATAAGTATTAGTAACAAATAAGTATTGTTTTGATGGAACAGCTTTAAAGAAGTATATAAATATTTTTCTCTAATGTAATATTAAATTAAAAAAAAAACTTGTTTAATTATCTGATCTAAAAATCACAGACATCCCAGAGATTATTTAATAGAAGACCCTAAAAGCTAAAATTTGCTGAGAAAGCACCTGGCCCAGTGATTGACATATACTAAATGCTCAAACATTTGCTAAATGAATGGAAAGTACTATAAAATGTACGCAGAACAGAGCAATGGGATGTACACCATAAAGGGAAATTAGCATATTTACAGAATTTCAGACCCATCAGTGACATAAAACAATCAGCTGGTTGTGAGCTAAAACTCATTTGGTTTCTGATAGTTTAATCAACAATGAACTGGGCCATTAAATTAACAAATTTAAGTATTACAATGTCCTTTAAAGAAGAGTGCCATGCTACACTGCATTAATCAAATAGCCTAGGGATACACCCAGTCATTCCATGCCAGGAATATCTGCAAAGAGCTATAAAAATTCTGAAGCAACTTTGACAGTCTTTAAAAGATAAGTATATTTAGTCTAAACTTGTGGTAAGCAGCAATTTCTAACCAGATGACTTAGAAACTGCTGGAAAAACAGATTTGTGATCTAGGTGTTGCCCAGTAGGCTTTTCTCCCCC